TTCAATATAATAAGAAACTATTTATGTTCTTCTTTTTTTGAAAAACATTATTTGAAATTTTCAATCTTCTAAACTTTGTATCTTTCAATGATTGAGTTTTAATTTGTATAAATATCCAGTGAATTAACAGTGAAATGTGATAAAAAACAGTATGACAAAATTTACACCCTAAATCAACATAAATTTAAAAAGAAGTAGATTTATTGAGAACAACTTGTAACTTCGCCCTCAACAGTGAAAACTTTACTGGAAAAGTGCAGAAGACTGTTGGTTTGGTAAATGAAAGTAATATCTGTAAAAACCTTCACTTAAAATTTCTGTCCAATTTTCTTCTTAGCAATCATTTTCAATTTATTACATTATAAAAAAAAAAAAATTAGCAGCAATATTGAATTTCTGAGTATTAAAAAGATTTTCTTTTCAGCTTTGAACACATATATAATCAAACGTTTCTGTTAGTAAGACATTTGTCAAATAAATATTTGGAATTAATTATCTTACGCCTCATTCCTTAACTGTTCTGAAAGCTTTTATTTCATCTACCTTAATGATGCTCAGTAAAAACCAAAGCGTATTGTAATTTATGTTATATTCTGCAAGTGCCTTATTTTTAATAGTTTAGCGGTTTTTTCAGCTGTGAGACAGTTAATAATACCAATGAAAACAATTTTCTTGTTATTACTGTGCAGTGGTAATTTGTAGAACCCTATATATTGTAAAATTTAACCTGAAAATTTTTTATTTACGTATCTAACTTGCTTATTTTTATCTAATAAAGCGCGTGGTTTGTTTTTTATTGAATATTAACTGATAATTTGACACGATCTCATGAGTAAAGAAAACTTAAGCAAACTGTGAGGTGTTCAGAAACGTTTTTGAGAAGGACGTCGCTGTTCAGTACGAGCAAGGTCTTTAGGTTATAAATCTGAGCTTTAATAAACTTTAGTCGTCAAAGAAAGCTTACTTTTGTCTTGCTCAAAATAGTCTTTGATATTTTATATTGCAACTCGTGTAAATAATTAGTTTTTAATAAAATTATCAATTTGAGTTATCAATCAAAATTATCAATCAAATGCGTTGTGTAACAGCTGATATTTATTTTTCGGTAACTTTTTGTTGCAGAATATGCAACGTACATTATCAAATTGTATAATATTGAAAAATTTTTTACTGCCAATTATTGTTTGAAGAGTTATAAGTTTTTTTTTACATAAATAATAATAAGTTTTTTAATATTATAATCTTTAAAAAAATTTGTTCACTTAAATCAAAAATTGTGTTGTGCGGTCGTTTACCGTTATTTGTTTGTCTTTTAAAGTTGATACCGTATAAATGACAAAAAAAAAAAAACTTCCTCTGTTTTTTCTTTTTTTTTAACGATTATTTGATTTTAGCAAAGCAGTAGTATTTTTTTGCCTTTTTAGTTGTTGACGGAGCCTTGCTGATTTTTGTGTTTATTGAGGTAAAGGTGCAAATTATAATTTCATTGAGGTAAAGGTGCAAATTATTGTTCATTGAGGTAAAGGTGCAAATTATATACTACGGACTTGCAGCAGAGTTTTGAAGGGTTTTTAATAATTGACAAACTGTGGCCTTTTTAGAACAACGTCTTCTCTGTTGTTATCGGTGAAAAATAATAATGAATGTTTAAAATAGCTGCAAAACGGAAAAGGTATTGTATATGATTTTCTATTTTCTTAGGGCTAGACAAACGACTAGGTTTCGATGCTCTATAACAACATTTCTTACAAACTTCAGCTTTCGTGCTATCTTAGGCAGCTAAAAACCTAGTAAGCAGAGTAAGGAATGTTTAAGCATTGTTTGTTATAAAATGTTTTACAACATATTTTGTTTAATAAAACGATGTATGAGATGTTTTCAGTCTAAATAAGTGAAACCGTTGCCTACTTCAGTTAGATTTGGCAACATTATATGAAATACAGTTTGACATGAAAATACGGTCGTACGAAGGATTTATCATATATATTTTGCTGCTTTTGTGTCATGTTTTTGCAGAAGAACCCGGTCAATAAATGCAGTTTTTAAGTAGTTATTGAGTTTATACTATATTAGTTTACAAAATCGTGTTTATTTCAAGCAAAGAAAGAGCCAAATTCAGTAGCTGTTTTTAGCTGAGAGCATAAAATTGAAGTTTTTTTTTACAAAAGTAGACTTTTAGAAAACGAATGTCCTGAATGGTGGCATCGAACTGAGAATTACTGCTATTCTAGAGTATGTTTGACAATTTTTCGTAACTTTTGCTCTCTATTTTGATGCATTTCTTCCTGTTTTGTGCTAATTCTTTTGTCTATTTTAAAAAGAGTGTTAAAGTTGAAGTTTACTTGAAACAATCAAACTTTATTAACTGTGCATCGGACAAATTTACAGCTTTTTTTTGACTGATAGAGTAATGTTTTGTAAATTTCTTTCTCTGACATTAAAAGATCAAAAGACTTAGAAAGTATATTTGACAATATTGTATAAAAACTAAATTTTAGTTATAATGCACTGTGTATATTGCAGTGTTGAACTGTTTAGATTTATGTTTTGAACCGTTTTGACTGTTACAGTTCGAAAGGAAACTAGCTTCTTGTTCACTTTTATTTAAAAGTATACCAGCAAATAATTCTAGATCGAGGACAGATATACTTATGATGACGCAGAAGAGCATTGCAAGAAGAAGGAGGCTAGACTTCCAACTTTTCTAAACAAAAAGGAATTTGATGCTCTTCTCAGTAGGTCATTTATCTGGCGCAGTGAAAATCTGGAAATGTTTTGCATATTAGAAAAAGTTGCAAGCTTTTCTAACCACAATTATGCGTCGTTTAAAATACAGATTTTCAAAATGATGCAATTTAGCGCTAAATCTTCTTTCAAAATCTTCATTTTTCTATGCCAACTTTGCGAAATGAGTACAAAACTGTTCTTTAAACGGTGCTTTATTGGTGCAGATTTTGTAAATTTGTCGTACTTTTGGTGTTTTTTTTTGTAGTTCTTTGTAAAATGACAAAAGCTATGTTTTTCTGCTATTAAAAGTACCATATGAAAAGTGCTAAACAAACAAACTAATATTGTAGGGTATCTTCGGGCGCCACGTAACTACTGGTTTGGAGCAAAACTGCAGGATAAGCTATTGTGGAACTGGACCGATGGTACTCCTCTGCAACTTTCTGAGATTTCGCTACCAATTTTTGGACTTGGGAATTTCAGTTGTGCAGTGCTGTCGCAGAAAGGTGTGCAAACTGTAGAGTGCACTACTTATCAAAATGCTATTTGTAAGAGACCAAGTGAGCCTTTACTGTTGTTACATCACTGTCAGCAAGGTTCACCAAAGTCAACTTGTCAACAGCTTCTTGGCTGATTGCGTTTTCTAAGCACAAAGCTTACGCCAGTTCAAAAGTATCTCAAAACTATTGATGATGACAAACATAGCCCTAAACTGATAAGCCTAGTAAAGCTTGGAAACCAAGTGAGGGAACTGTGAATTTACATGGATAAAAGCATAGAAATATCTGTTTAAAATTCAGAAACTTTTTTGCTCCAAACTTGAATTATTTGTTCAGTTTTTTACTGGTGGTTTATAAAACTAATTCACAAGAAATTGGGGTTTTGAATTTATTCGAAGTATTAAAGTAAATTTTTCAAGAAGATTTCAGACCTTTTTTAAATGTAAATGCAATTAGAAACTTAAAAGTTACCTTTTTTCTGTTTATTTTTGCAGTTTTAGAAAACTGATTTACCATCGAGCATTTGGGCGCTTACAAGTTTACCGCGGTTATAACCGTAATAATCACAGTTTTTTCCATTTTAAATAAAAAACCTAATGAGACGAGCAATTTTGACAGTTTTTTTTCATTATTTCTGCATTATAAGTATGCAAGTCATTTCCTTGGCTACCAAAGAATTTACTTGAGTCAAGCATTTTATAAAATGAAGAATAGCTGAGCTATAAATCAAACAGAGCAACAGGGTATTGGTAAGTGAAGCACAAGCGGTTAGAGAAGGCTTAGTACTTTAAATTGTTAAAGTGAACACATCCTCTTCTTTCAGACGGAATTTAAGAAGCTGTGAAAGGCATAAGCTGTTAGGTTTTCGTGACAGTTTTACATAACGATTAAAGAATTTGTAAAAGTATGCTACTGCTTTTTTAATATTTTGCAAATACTGCTTTTTTGGAGAGGTTTGAATCGGAAATTGAATTCAAAGAATTGCATTTTTTTAGGTATTTTTTTTTAGTTTTTCTGAATAGCGTAGCTTAAAAAGGATAATGGTTTCGTTAACCCCTAATTGTAATGACATTTTTAAATGTTAATTGCTTATTCCAGAAAGAAAGCTGTTTAATCAGTTAAATAATTTAGAGTATCCAAAACTTAATTGTTTTCCTGGTTGGGATGAATTGGAACAGAATTGTTATTTACTAGTACGTTCTTAAACTTTTACTAGAGCTTTTTCAGCAGGCAACGTTAACTGCAAAACGAAGAGCTGTTGCTTAAGCCTGGAACTTTTGAAATCCTTTCTTGCACAATTAATTACCCTTTTCTGAACTTTGTGAGCATTGTCAGTGGTATTAATTTAGCTAATTTATTTCTTTTTCAAATTTAAATTCAAAAGAAATTCAAAAAGTGTAGCTGTTTTTCTTCTTTGCTATTTAGAGCACACAAGGTTTTGTACACGGCGCTGCAGTTAAGTTTTGTGAAAATAATGAAGCTAATTTGGCAACTGTATTTTCCAAAGAAGAGGAAGAATTCCTAAAAAGTTAGTAAATATTTTTATTCAGAAACTTAAAAAATTTCAATATATACATTTTTTTGGAAAATTTTGGTTGTTTGGTTGCAGTACCGAATAATGATGAGTATTTATTATATATATTACATGCATATACTTTCATTACTAAAACCAACTGGATAGCTTGTAACGTGAACCACCTTTCCAGCTCTGTTAGGTAATAAGAGCGCTTACATTGGATTAGACCACATTTCTACTAGAAAAAATGCCTGGATTCCGAATGTGCCGGATCGACTTGATAGGATCTATATCAACCTTACTAAAAAACGTAATCCAAACGGAAAATGCTTACAACTTTATTACGCTACAAAACAGATGGACAGCCAAATCTGCGACGAGATAGCAGAACTCACGTGTCAGCAAGAAAGTTCGGTTATTTATTAAATTTAGGTTCTTAAAGCAAGAAAAAAGTCTGTATTTTGAGGATCACGTGTACAGTTCCTACAGGCATGAGAAGGCCACAACAAATGCAAAATTCTAATAATGCACTGCTCGAAAGAAACATTTTGTTGAGGATTTTGTGTTTATAATTATTAGTTAAAAACTTGAAGAAATAGCTCTAACATAATCGGAAGTTACAGGCTTGAGAGTAGCTCAAAACTGATTATACCCTGGTGCAGTTACAGCAATAGCACATGCAGTGGCATAATCCATGTCAGTCGTTTCTGAAAATTATAAGGAAGCGATATCAAAATTTAGTAAGTTTCAGTTCCTCAAGATTTGTTTCAAAATAAACTTTTTATTAAAATATTCGCAAATTATTGTTACGTGGACCTGTAACGAATCGTCTCATCCTTTTTCTAACAAATTTTTAGTTTATTTGTAACAGTCAACGTGAAATTTTGTTTTGCCGGTTATCTTTTCAGTCGGCATTTATGTAAGAGCCTGAGTTTTTAGGCTTTACTGATCTACGTTGTCTTTGCAAACTTTAGTGTTAATAATGCATGCTCTTCCCCGTAGATTGTCAGTGACAAAAATGCGAGGTGATAAAGGTTCTAAGGAACCCAGCTGTACAGTTTCAAGTGTTAAAATTTGGCGGAAAGAGAATTTTCAAAAACTGCTTCTAACAGCTAGCCTTTTGGGAGTGTTTTTGGTATTAGCATGTAGACTTTCATAGACAGTAGCTAACAAGTACCATTCTGCGACAACACGGGAACCAGTTTTCTGCAATAGACAGTTACATTAATTCTTTTATTTCTCTACTGTAAGATAATTTTGTAGAAAAGGGTTAGAGGTAAGACTGAAAAATTTGCTGATAATTCTTTTGGTTCAAAGGGTAAACGTTTTGAGACAGCAGCAGCTATCCTCTATCCACTGTGTATATTCTAAACACTTAGTGGCATTCCTTTGGAAACATTGTGGCAGCTTATTAGCTTTTAATGTCTGGGAACAGAGGCGGCTCTGCAGGCGACACTTTATTTCGTTCACTAGTAGGTTACAAAATTTCAAATCACTTTTGTGGTCTTCAGTAAGTGTATTGAACTTTTTTGTCAGGCGGTTTAAATATACCTCCGTGACCAGCAGTTCAAAATTTTGATAATCAGTACACAAGCAGATCTAGTAGTTTTTTAGGCGAGGGTACGGTGCTCAATTCTCAGCAATATGGATTTTAGGGAATGGATCTTTAATCTAATTCAGTTT